CAGTTTTCCATTACTTTAGTCAGCTGCAGATTTCAGCATCCAGCTGATCATTTCCTGTGTGAGGTCACAGGACTAAACTGTTCCTGTGTCTCTTTTTTAAGTATGTTAACCTCTTTCTTTTTATCAAAAACCTGAATTACTTTTATCTTTTTGCAACTTTCTGACCCTCTAAGATTAATGCAATTGTAAAAGCATGAAGGACTCATGGGAAGATAACCTTGCCAAAAATACAGTTCATGCCATCATTTTGCAAATCATGTCCTTATGTTGTAAATACCCTGGCTAACAGAAATGTTGACATGGTACATGGCTCATTTTTACCATTAAAGTCACAAGTGTGTCTGAATATATACTTATGCCAAACACTTAAGGCATCAAAACATGACAAAACAAAGACAGAATTCAATAGGCATTAACATTTCAAGCAGAAAACAATATCTTCTTGATTTCTGTAATTTGTGTTTATCCAGTAAAGGAAACATAACAAGCATTAAATAAAAGATTGGATGCATTTCTTCACCAGGCCAGTGCAGCAATGTGCATACAGTTATAAATACAGGCTGTGGGAAACTATTGATGATTCAAGACAAAGATCAGAAATTGTATCTTAGAAAGACAAGAGAGGGCTCTTTTTTTAATACCACATGAGCTAAATTCAGCTTACAGAAGTGAAAAAAAAAAACAGAAAATAAATTATTTGGAAGACTGTCCAACTCTTCAGCCTGTCTCTGGTTTGAATATTCAATCAGTGTTTGAGCACAAAGGCAAAAAATAACCAAACACCAAAATTACGAGAGCAGGAAGAAACTAATGAAGGTATAGGGATCGTTTATTATCATGATCTCTCCAATTAGACTGTCAGATACACTCGTCTCTCAGAGCAGAGGGATTTCAGCAGATACTTGTGATCAGAGCAGAGGGGCAACTCCTCTAGGAAGCTCTCACGCTAGCTCTCAGGGGGAATCATCTAAAGGGCATTTTCTCTTATAATTTCATGAGGAACCTGAATATTTTATAGGTTCAAATGCTTCAGTAATTATAAAATAGCCCATTTCAAATGAATGGTAATACATAATTATAACTTTAGAAACACACTTCATAATTATTTGGTCTCAGAGAAGTAAGGAAATGGAAATAAAAACAAATAAATCAAGCTCAGCTATGAATACCTGAATGTAGCTTCTTTTCAACACCAAAGCCCAAACTTTGTAGTTCTTCACTTTGAAGGTGATGACTCGCACAGTTTTGCAGATAGAAAAAGTAGAAGGTGGCAAAAGTATAATGAATCACTTAATTGAAAGGTAAAATGTGGAATTCTACAAATTGCAGGTCCCTGGAGTACTCAAGACTATGACTCCTGAGAAATGAAGGAATAACATTAATTCAATGTTTACTCCTCATTGTGTCATACATACTATTTTATCTAATCTCCTTGACAATCATTTTAAAAGGACACATTATTTTTAATTTTCAGATGGTGAAAGTAAAGATCCAAATGTCTAGAGCTATTATGCATGATCATACAGCATGCCAAAGAACTCTCATCTCCTTACTTAGGTCTTATTTCTCTTATGTATCTTATAGAGAAGGTCAACAAGTCTTCTGCGTAGACATGTCTCCAGTAGTCTTTGGAACTTCATGAGTCTGTATATTTTCTAAAGTAAACCATTTCCTCTTTTCGAGTATCATTTCTCCATCTACAAAATGTAGATATTTCTAACATTCTACCTCCAAAGTTAAATGAGAGACATGGAAATATTTTGTGAATTATAAGATATTACTGAAATGTGGGTATAAAGGAAATTGATTCCTTTATTTTATATTAGCATAAATAAATAATTGTAGTTTCAATGGAGTAGGTAAAAATTAGTTTAAATAATCTGCAATACTTTTATGGGTATAAGTCGGGGACAGAGGTAGAAAACAAAACATGATTTTGGGGGAAATATAAGAAGCTCAGGAGCAGGAAGACTGCTGTGAGATTGTGTCTTCTGGACATTATGGGGATACTGTACTACTGGACTCTCAACAGCTATATCTACCTGTAAAAGATCACACAAAACAACATTCCTGACCAGATGGGGAAGTGGCTCATCAGGTACCACTCCAGTTGTGGAGCTATAGGCAGTGGGACTCAGCTGAGAGCAGAAAAGTTGGTTTTCTTTGGGCAGGAGCCTCTTGGGGGTTTCCAGTACCTCACAGCTCAGCTCTACACTCATGTGCATACAGGTATCACTAAATAGACACAGTAGGTTGTGTGTATATGTGTATATACATTTATATGTGTGTATATATGTAAATATATGTGTAAGTATATACATACATGTGTGTATATATTTAATTATAAAAAAAAGTCGTAAGTCGGGAAAGGAATGTTGAGGATATGAGACATAGGAGGGTCTGAGGGTATTGAAAGGGCTAGGTGTATTCAAAATGCATTATACTCATATATGAAATGATAAAAATAAATAAATTTGTAAAAGATTTTATAAATACATAAGTTGGCACCTTAAGCCATTATTTTCCATAAAGTAAACAATATCATTTGAAATTACATATATTATAGCCTGCTTTTTTAAGAAAATAATTGAGTTTATACATTATCAAAATTAAGAACATTAGCTACTAACTATATTTAATGAGCTCATTCAAATAAATTTCATATTTATAGTTAGGATATCAAATTAAAGTTTTATTGCTCCATTTGAGATACAGTTTGTCTAATGGAGCCAACATTGTAAAGCATCCTTCCAGAGTAACAAAAGCTCATAATTGTGGTTATGGTAAGAATGGGTGAAGTTGAGGGCAGCAAACATTTATAGTGAATGAATCCACACATTAATAATTTAGATTGACAGTAAGGAATTAGTCTTTGTTTTGCTATTTATAAGGACTAGAAAGAATTTATTTTATACCATAAGCAATTAATTATATATTAATGACTAGTTGCTAAGAAATGAAAGTATCATAAACCACAGAGATTAGAAATATCATTAAAATCAGGCATTCCAGAGTATTACAGTTCTTTATTCTTATGATAGCTGATGTGAAAAGCATTTCTATATAAAACAGAAACTTCTGGGTAAAATGATTTGATATGTATTTAGATACATGGGTCTGAAAAGATTAGTGGTGGTGTCTTAGGGTTTTTATTGCTGTAATGAAATACCATGACTAAAGGGCAAATTGGGCAGGAAAGGATGTATTAGGCTTAAACTTCTACATTGCTGTTCATCATTGAAGGAAGTGAGGACAGGAACTCTGAGAGGGCAGGATCCTGGAAGTAGGAGCTGATGCAGAGGATATAGAAGTGTGCTGCATGCTTCCTCTGGTTTGCTCAGTCTGTTTTCCTATAGAACCCAGGACCACCAGCCCAGGGATGGCACCACCTGCAATGGGCAGGGCCCTTCCACATTGATCACTAATTAAGAAAATGCCTTACAGTTGGATCTTATGGAAAAATTTCCTCAACTGAGGCTCCTTCCTGTCTAATGACTCTAGCTGTGTCAAATACACACACACACACACACACACACACACACACACACACACATACACACACCAGCCAGTGCAAGTGGTCAAAGAAGATAATGGAGTGTATAAATGGTATTAAGTAATAAAGTTTTGAGATACCACTCAGAATCACAGTACTGAAGTACTGAAGTTGTTTCATGTAAATATTTGGGGTCTGTACATTGTAGCTCAATGGACTGTAGATTATAAAACACATTGCTAATCTGAAAGTGAGTTAATACTTGAGGATAAGTATAAAAACCAGTAGTTTCACCACAGAAAAGCAGGTTATAAGAGAATATCCCAAGGCTGCCTTCATGGATGTTAAGGTTATAAAGAACAACTTAGGAAAAATTGAAGCCTGTATTTATAGTACTGTAGTAAGGAATTTAATTGAAGAGGAACTAAGCTTGTAAAACTGTGCAAAACCTAAAACCATGAAGGACAAATCCTCAAGAAAGAACAACTAATAAAACAACTTCAGTGATCCAACTTGATCCCTCAGCCTTAGGAGGAAAGGGTGTGCACCAGCAGAGAGTTTGACACCCATGTACACACTGGCAGCACTAAGCAGACTCAGTGGGATTTAAAAAATAAAATAAAGAGAATGCAGATTTGGAAGGGAATGATGAGGTAGGGTATGGGGGAGGAAGTGAAAAGGAGAGAATAGAAGATGAGGGTGTATTTGGTAATTAACTTTTTAAACAGAAATTAAAGAAAAACATTAAAAGTATCATCTTTGTTATCATTGTAAAAATGATGAACTCACAAATAAAATTACAAATGCATTTGGGAAAAAAATGTATTAGTTGAGTTAGCTGGAACAATTAGTTAGATAACTAATTCAACATTATCAAACTGTTACTAATGCAAACACAAATTCACTTTAAAACAATGCAAATTAATTATGTTTCTCTGCCTAAATATATAAGGAAAAGTAAAACGAAAACCACTAGTCTGTTTTAAGAAGGAAGTGTCCCTAAAATTGAGCTAAATGGGAACGTTGCAAAGACTACATACAAGCACAAATTTTTCAAAATGATAGTGTTAACTCACAAAGAAATGGCACAATGATGTAGAAAACCCAAAAAGGAGATTGTGGGAGACATTGATAGGTGAAAAACAAAAAACAAAAAACAAAAAACAAAAAACTCAAAGTCTCTATGAGGAATTCTGTAAATAAATGTCCATGAATGAGTAGGGTAGATTAGTGAAAGCTACCACAATGAACATTGTAGCTAGAGATTTTTCCGGTCCCGCCGGGGCTTGCAGCCACTAAGACCCAAGTAAATGCAAAGAGACTTATATTACTTTTTAAGTGTACGGCTGTGGCAAGCTTCTTTTTATCTAGTTCTTATATCTTATATCTTAAATTAACCCATTTCTATTAATCTATAAATTGCCATATGGCTTGTGCCTTACTGGTACTTTACATCTTACTTCTCATGGCAGCAGTGGCTTGCGGTGTCTCCTGACTCTGCCTCCCACTTCTCAGAATTCTCTTCTTTGTCCCACCTATACTTCCTGCCTAGCTACTGGCCAATCAGCACTTTATTTATTAACCAATCAGAGCAACACATTCATAGCATACAGATATCCACAGCAGAACATGCCCTTGGCAAGCAGGTGTTAGATATTAATCACCAATGAAGGATTGTTAAAATGAGGCAGATTGGAGAGGTGATTAACCTTGAGAACAAAGGCTTCTATAATCCTAATTTTTGTTGTGGGAGCTGTTGAGTTATTTTTTTTTAAAAAGTCAGTTTCCCTCGCTCTTGATCCTCCATGAATTTTCTTCCCATTTAGTCTTCTGGCATCAGATATAGTAAGAATGCTCTCATTATATGTGGGTTCTTAGTGGTCTGTCCAGAATCTCACACTGTGAGCAATAAATCTTCCCTTTTGAATCACCCAGGTGCCAGTGTTCTGTTTTAGGATCACAATAAGGCTTTTGGTGGTCACCATTTCTTAGATCCTGAAAGTCTAAAAAAAAAAAAAAAAAAGAAGAAGAAGCAGAATGAAGGAAAAACAAACTCACAGTTAGTTATTAAAACACTAAGTCATGGTCAGTGACTATGAAGGTCTGAGATACATAGTTCCAGAGAGACAAAGACCCTTCATTAAATGGAGAGAAAAGCAAATGACAACAAACTATTCAAGAGCAACAATGGGAGCCAGAAGAAAGGGAAATAGAATTTAGAATGAGAAAACCATATTATTTTTTCAAATATTTTAAATATTCTCTGACAATTTCATATATACACATATGCATGGCACTTACAAAAATTTAATTTAGAAAAGTAATATCTAGGCAGTTAATATGTTAATTTAATTTAAATATATTAAATGTGCATGTTAAAATATTAATGATGAACAGTTGTTTTATTGCAGGATATCCATTTTCTTCTCAGACAAGCCCCCTTTGATATTTATGTAGCCATACAAATGTCAAAATTAGAGTATATTCAAATTATGCACATAGTAACTTTCCATTAGCTTCCACTCATGGCTGTATTGGAGGTTTTAGCTAGGAAGAATGAACTAAAAGATAAAACAGTTTTGTGTATTTATAGCTGCACTGTGTTAATGCAAGTCAAAACCAGGAAGCAGCTGCTTCATACCTGCAATTGGATGTGGCCTTGAGAAACAGTAGTGAAGCAGATGTATTTCATAAGAAGGATAGTAAGGTGCATGCAGTGATTTCACTTACTGTCGGCTCTGGAATCCTGTGGTTCAAGTAGCTATAGAAGTATATCCACAAGGTTGAATGTATAGCTGGTTCACCAAGCCCTTAATGGAAACTCCTGTAAAACATAATTCATAGCAGTCTGAGGATGTGGGTAGAAGGGTGGATGAGTGGATGGGTAGGTGAGTGGATGGGTGAGTAAGTGGATAGGTGGGTGGGTGGGTGGGTGGGTGGGTGGGTGGTAGGATGGATGGGTAGATAGGTAAATTGATGAATGAATGGGTGGATGGATGAAGAAGGCCTGAGTATGAATGATTCTGTATCTTGTATTGGTGATTACTAGAGAATACTCACTGTAAATTATTCAAATAGCTGTCACATGGATACACATATTTTTAAAAAAAAAATGGTTCTTCTACTACTGTCACTGGACAAGTGTTGGATTCAGTTCATTTCTCCAACATTGAAGAATTCAAAAGCAGAGGAGATTCTGTTACACCATACAGCTAAGGTTTGTTACAAACGAAGAAAGAGAACTCCAACAGGATGTGATCTGAAAACCAGAGTATATTTTCCTTCCTGGAGAGTCCAGGCTCTTATATTTGGGGCATGAAAAAACTCCAATTCCTCCCTCTAGATTAGTTGGTTTGACTGTTTTGGTGAATAGGTTAATTCAAAGACAGTTTATTGGCTCCTGCCAAGAGCACAACAACAAGAATATTGAAAGATCCAATCAGCAGTTTTCCATTTGCTGGGGTAGACCTACTAAGTTTTTGTCTCAGGGAAAAAGAACTGAGAAGTCAAACATCTTATTGTGACTTGGAAAACAGCTTTGTCTACTTATGACATCTCTTCTCATCACTTTTCCTATTAGGTCACTAATTGACTCCTGGTCCATCAATGCCAGCTAGCCAGTAGTAGAGCATTACATGTTCTTAAATAAATTGTTATTCTAGGAATGACTTTGCTTTCCAGGAAATAAAGCCTTGTCTCTCTCTCTGTCTCTTTCTCTTTCTCTGTCTCTGTTTCTGTCTCTCTCTCTCTCTCTCTCTCTATATATATATATATATATATATACACATATATATGTATATATATATATATATAAAATTTGGAGAATGATATAAATGAATAATATGAAGGACAGAAGGATCAAATTGAGGTTCATAGTATTACATATATAGCAATCCAAAAAGTACATTACACGGTACAAAAAGCACAAGTCAACAGAGCATGAAAATATTACTGTTGTGTATCTAGAAATTAGGGTCTAATAATAAGTCAAATCAATATTAAATGACATACCAAAATAAAAAATAGGCATCTCAATAAAATATAAAAGTATGACAAATTAACCAAATTGTTATATAAGATATGTTTGTAGATTATGAAGTTGTAATGTATGGAAGACTTTAAGGAAACAGTTACCATGCCTTATCCAATACACATTAGGAGTGTGTCTATGTCTGAGATACTTCTATCCGACTTAAGCATAAATGCATAATGTAACACATTTGAGTAAATCAATTCTGTCTTTAATAAAGTAAATTTCAATAACTGTCTTATATTCAATATACTTTATAAACATTGTGCAACTATGTAGTAAACTGAAAATTAATGATAAACACTTTCAAATTCCCTATCCACCATCCAAAGAAGTAATTAAAAATTCTAATTAATCTGGGCAGTTGTGGCACACGCCTTTAATTCCAGCACTCCAGAGGCAGAGGCAGGTGGATCTCAGTGAGTTTGAGGCCAGCCTGGTCTACAAAGAGTGTTCCAGGATAGGTTCCAAAAGTTACACAGAGAAACCCTATCTCAAAAAACAATAACAAATTATAATTAAATGAATCAATACTTTGAAAAAATTCACCTAAATTAAGATAAAGAAGGAAACTTACATGATGTGCTTATATTAATCTATGAAGGCCAGGAGTGGTGGTGCATGCCATTAATGCCAGCACTCAGCAGGCAGAGATAGGTGGATTTCTGTAAGTTTAAGGCCTGCCTGGTCTGCATTGCAAGTTCCAGGATAGCCAGAGCTATACAGTGAAAACCTGTCTCAAAAATGAAAACAAAGAAAAAGAAAAAAGAAAACCACAAATAAAGTAAAAATAGTATCTTAAAAGTTTGTAGCTAAGAAATCAAGAATTTAAGAAAAACAGATATATGTAAGGATTTGATCCTTAATTACGTTATCAGCCTTTGCCGGCTTCCCAGCGTAAAAAGAGGGTGAGCCCTCTGTGGGCTCTCTGTCTCCTCTCCTCTCGCTCCTTCCTCCTGTCGGCTCCCCTCTCTCCCTCCCCCCTTTTGTGTCTCTCAGTCTCTCTGTTTCTCTCCTCCCCAATAAAGCTCTAAAAAGGTAACCATGGCTATGATTCATTTAATCAACACGCTCCACCGCCTGCATGGCCGCCGCGGGCGGCGACCAGCCACGAGCCAACAATATAACTGAAATATGAATGAAACAAGCATGAGAATGTTATTTAATGAAATTTAAAATAATAAGTAGACTATAAAAGATTTATTTTGGAAATAAGATAATGATACAGTGAAAAGGTTCAAAAAGACCAAGTTTAATTTCACTTGAAACTGTTAAAACTCCAACAAATTTAATCAAGTATGGAGTACCCAGGGGTCCAGGGGCTAGCTAAGTCTAGCATGGGATATCTGAGGGAAAAAAAATCTACGTACACTATGTTCTTATGTCTGTTAACTTTATTCCTCTAAGAAAAAATTCTATCTATTCGGTTATAGCTCCACCAGGCATTCAAGGCAGGAACAACTCTAGACATACCAAGCTCTATATCCATCTACTTTATTCCTCTGGGATGAAATCCTGTCTCCATAACTACAGTTATGTCCAGTTCCCTTGTTTATAGTCCTGTTAATGACTAAACTCCTATGCTTTCAACCTCATCTTCATCCTCTGTATCCTCTTTCTTCATTTCTGCTGCTCTCTACTCCTGGCATTTAGAAAACTCTACCTGAGATCTGCTTACCCTCTATGAAATCTCTGTTGTCTTCTCTTCTCTCTCACCACGCAGTTCTGTCACTGTCTGCAGAAAATGCCTGCCCTTCCTTTCCTTCAGCAGTAGGTTCCCTGCCTCCTCAGGAATGTTGTTTTACCTTTCACCTTGATATGTAAAACCTCTTTTGTTCTCAGTCAAAATGCTCTGGAGAACCACAAGGCCGCCTCAAGGCCAGGGGATGGTCTGAGCTTCATTAGCACAGGAAACAAAGCTAGGTGTCTCCAGCCAGCTTGTCTCCTAAACTCAGCAAGGCAGTTAGTAACTTGGTAGTTCAGCAGGTCTGGGAGCTGAACTGTTTACCAATTGGTCTGGGCATGCAAGGATTTCATAGCAGAAGACAGCTGGAATATTAAAGGCTGGGTAACACCAAATATTTATAATTAATGGCTTTGCCTTTTGACAGACCCTTGGGTGGTCAAAGTTCAGCTTTAATACACAGCTGAATCTCTATGATATATTCTTGCAGCCTGTAAGAATCAAGAACATAAAATGATATTATAATTCCAATTAAAATAAAAATAGGACTATGGGTACAGCTGATATTCAGATACCCAAAAATGTAAAAAAATATTGAGGAAACAATAAAGGAAAAAATAGAAAACTCTTTGAGTAGACGGGAGACTTCAGAATCAAATCAGAAAATTTAAAAGTCTGCATGATTCTCACAATATAATTTAGAAACAATAATTTTATTTAGTTATTTGTTATTTGGGTCATCAAGACAGGGTCTCATATACTCCAAGCTGGCCTCAAACTTACTATGTAGCTGAGGATGACCTTGAATTCCTAGTCTTCCTGCCTTTACCTTCTTAGTTTTGTGATTATAGTGTATCCTACCACAATGCGTTTATACCATTTTGGGAATTGAACCTCATGCCTTGTGGGTGCCAGGCAAACATTCTACCACGTGACCTATAACAAATCTAGAACCCCTGAAAATTATTTTAATTATTTATATGCAAACATACACAGGATTGTTTTTACAAGTGAGAAGTTTCAAGGAACTGGTCATTTTATTTCCCTGTAATTAAAAAATGCTACGCTGAATAACCTGGGTCATAGGAATTTTGAAATTCTCTACAGGGGTCATCTGCCCTGCTGTGGGTCCAATCAGAACCTAGGCATGTTATAAGAATCATGAAAATAAGCCGGGCGGTGGTGGCGCACGCCTTTAATCCCAGCACTCGGGAGGCAGAGGCAGGCGAATCTCTGTGAGTTCGAGGCCAGCCTGGGCTACCAAGTGAGTTCCAGGAAAGGCGCAAAGCTACACAGAGAAACCCTGTCTCGAAAAACCAA